GGGTGAGAACTTTCTTAGAGGTAAGCCATAGCTGGAAGCAAGGGCTCCACAGCAGGTCAGCAAGTGAGTGAGTGAGTGAGTGAGTGAGTGAAGTCGCTCAGTCGTGTCCGACTCTTTGCGAACCCATGCACTGTAGCCTACCACGCTCCTGTGTCCATGGGGTTTTCCAGGCAAGAATACTGGAGTGGGTTGCCATTTCCTTCTCCAGAGGATCTTCCCAACCCAGGGATTGGACCTGGGTCCTCCCGCATTGTAGGCAGATGCTTTACCGTCTGAGCCACCAGGGAAGTCCTGCAGGTTAGCAAGGAGGCTCTTAATTCTAGATTTCATACGCCCTTTCCCAGGCACAGACTAAGTCATTCAGGGGACTAAGTCATTCAGTCACCTCCCAGGGTTCAATCCCGAACTACCAAACTACGGGAAGCTTGGATCCCTCAACCGGAAATGGAAAAAGCTGTGTTGAGCTTTGGGGTGGGTGCCCATGAAGAGCTATTGGTGAGTTCCAGACCATGCAGGAGGCCAGTGGAGGTGTATAAGATTGTAATTATTTTCCTGTCAATCAACACATGCTGTCTCTCCTCTTTTAGGTTTTTCAGGGAAATCAAGACTCCTTCACCCCCGTGGTGAATGCTCTAGACCCCCCGCTGTTTACCCGCTTCCTTCGGATTCACCCACGGAGCTGGGCAAACCATATTGCCCTGAGGCTGGAGCTTCTGGGCTGCGAGGCACAGCAGCAGTACTAAGGGCCGGTGCCTCCCTCCTGTCCCTGAGCCTTTCCTAACTCAGATGCAGCGTCCCTGTGAGCCCTTCCGCCGGGTGACTTCCTGCCCCACGCTGCCCACAATGCCATCGTTTTTGCTGTATTTCAACGCCTCTATGCCATCAGTTGTGCCCTGAAGCCACCCAAATCAATTGCCATGGGGACTGCGTTCTCTGGAGTCATGTGGAAAGCATTCTCCTCTGGAAATGGCAGTCACTTCCTCCTCTGTGGTGATGAAGAAGGGTCACGATCATACTAGGCTTCTAAAGGACATGTTTTTAATGTTTCCTCAGAAAAATGAGGAAACTCCGTGGCTCTCTGGGGTAGGAGACCCAACACGATGTACCTGGAAATTCTGTACCATGACTGAAAACTAGAGGCCCTCTTTACAGAGTTAAATCTCCGGGAGTAAGAAGGAAACTGAGCTGGTGGAAGCAGAGAGAAAATTCCTCCAGTCAGCCACATGCCCTTTCCAGGAGGAACCCCCGCCTTGCCCCGCCCCTACTAGATAAGGTTCAAAATGGTTTACTGTCCTGGAAATGTCAGTGAAGATTAGAGATTAATTTATAGAAATCAATAAGCTGCTTTGTTGTATAGCCTGGTAGAGATGTTAATCCCCCAAATGATGTGGTTTGACTGCCTGCAAAAGGTTAACCACTTTGATGTCGACCTTAATCATCTTCTTGTAGCATTCTTTTCCCATTGACCGCATACATCTCTCTTTTTCAAATGCTCTTGGAACCAGCTCTTTTGTCTTCCTGCTGGAATAGTCAATAATCAGTTGAATAAAACATTGACATGTAAGACCAAATGCCTTTAAGAGTTCTGTTTTTCTACTGGCAATTTAAATGTGAATGATGGAATTTTACAAAAACAAATCGAGCCACTGAATGGCAGGATAGACAGCTTAGAAAAACAACTGAGTGAGTTAGAAAACCAGATTTCATGTAAATTGCAGTAAAAAGTGATATAGTTTATGAGGCGAAGCTAACATTTTAAAAAATTAGAAGTGGAACCTTGACCCAGTAGCAGAGAGAGAGAGAGAGAGATGTTTAATCTTGACATCCATTAGCACTGTTCTCTTTCTTATCTCACAGATGGGAGTTTCCACTTTAGAAGGAGTAATTAACCCTGATATTTCTGAGTTTTCAGGGTGGCTGCTACACAGGAAAAGCAAAGACAAATATGCTTGGCACTCAAGTGATTTATTCAGGCATCTCTTAGGATTAAGGCAGCAGTCCGGGCTCTGGCACATCCCACTAATCCCCCTTTAATAAGTTTTCTAGAAGGACCAACCAGAATCCTGGAGAAGGTGTGGCAGAATGTGGCAAGCCTAATGTGAGAAATCAGTGGATTTGAGAGGTAGATGCTGCACTTGTATCGTCTAGATGTCCTAGATGTCAGTTCAGTGGTTGCATTCATCCCCCAAATGCTTTGGCTAATGGAGGACCTGTACTCAGAAACCTACAAGACCCTGATGAAAGAAATTGAAGATGACACAGATGGACAAAAGACACTGTGTTCATGGATTGGAAACATTAATATTGTTAAAATGACCATGCTACCCAAGGCAATCTACAAATTTAAGGCAATCTTTATCAAAATACCCATGGCATTTTTCCAGAACTAGAACAAACAACTCTAAAATTTATGTGGAAACCAAAAAGACCATGAACAGCCAAAACAATCTTGAGAAAAAAAGAGCACAACTGGAGGAATCAGGCTCTCTGACTTCAGACTGTATTACAAAGTTACAGTCATCAAAACGGTATGGTACTGGTACAAAAACAGAAATATAGACTAATGCAACAGGATAGATAGCCTAGAAATAAAGTCATGTGCCTATGGGCACCTTATCTTTGACAAAAGAGGCAAGAATATACAATGGACAAAACACAGTCTCTTCAATAAGTGGTGTGGCAAAACTGGACAGCTACATGTAAAAGAATGAAATTAGAACATTTCCTCATACCATATACAAAAATAACCCTATATGCAAAACAGAAAAAGAGACACAGATGTACAGAACAGACTTTTGGACTCTGTGGGAGAAGGCGAGGGTGGGATGTTTTGAGAGAACAGCATCAAAACATGTATATTATCAAGGGTGAAACAGATCACCAGCCCAGGTTGGATGCATGAGACAAGTGCTCGGGGCTGGTGCACTGGGAAGGCACAGATCGGGTGGGGAGGGAGGTGGGAGGGAGGATCGGGATGGGTAATACATGTAAATCCATGGCTGATTCATGTCAATGTATGGCAAAAACCACTACAATATTGTAAAGTAATTAGCCTCCAACTAATAAAAATAAATGGAAAAAAATAATAAAAGTAAAACACAGACTTTATTTAGTTTTTGAACTAAAGAGAATTCTTATTCCTGGATATAGAAGAACCTTATATTAGACATAGACATATATTAGACATAGAAGAAACTTAAATTGTATTAATAGGGCAAATAAAGCTCTTACATATTTGTGTAAAAAAAATAAACTCAAACTTGTATAATTATTTTGGAAAACAGTCTGGCATTATCTACAAAAGTTGAGCATACAGATACCCTATGATAATTCTGTTGGGTAATGACCTAGACCCAGAACTGCCATGTGAAACAAGAGACAGGGCAGCCCTATTTGAAACAGCTCCAAACAGGAAACAGCCTTTGTATATATCTCCTAGTGGCTTATTTTAATTGCTGTATAGTAATCCATTATGGCTTCCCCTGTGGCTCAGCTGGTAAAGAATCTGCCTGCAATGTGGGAGACCTGGGTTTGATCCCTGGGTTGTAAAGATCCCCTGGAGAAGGAGAAGCCTACCCACTCCAGTATTCTGGCCTGGAGAATTCCATGGAGTTGCAAAGAGTTGGACACGACTGAGTGACTTTCATGTTCACTTTCAATCCATTATATAATATACATCACAATTTATTTCAGTTCAGTTCAGTTCAGTCGCTCAGTTGTGTCTGACTCTTTGTGACCCCATGGACTGCAGCACACCAGGCCTCCCTGTTCATCACCAACTCCCGGAGTTTGTGTCCATTGAGTCAGTGATGCCATCTAACAATCTTATCCTCTGTCATCCCCTTCTCCTCCCACCTTCAATCTTCCCAGCATCGGGGTCTTTTCAAATGAGTCAGTTCTTTGCATCAGGTGGCCAAAGTATTGGAGTTTCAGCTTCAGTACCAGTCCTTCCAATGAATATTCAGGACAATTTATTTATCCATTGCTTTTCTGACTGATACATCATTTATGCCAGTTCTATGGAACTGATCATCCTTTTTAAAATTTGATTTGTAACAACAGTTCTTTGTATGTTAAGAACATTAACCTATTATCTGTCTTATATGTTATGGAAGTTTTCACTTAATTTGTCATTAATGTTTGATCTTTCTTTACAATGTTTTTCTGTATGAAAACTTTACATTTTTATGCAATAAATTTATCAGTAGTTATACCTATGGCTTTGGGGTTTTATGACATGCTCAGAGTAGATTTTTTTATACCAAGATTACAAAAAACTCATGTTTTATTCCAGCATGTGTATGGTTCTATTTTTGTTTAGTCCTTTTTTGTTTGTTTGGTTTTGGTTTTTTGTTTGTTTGTTTAGTCCTTGATCCATCTAGAATTTTTTTGTGTGTGTATGACTCTAACTTCAGTCAGTGCATTCAAATGAATAACCAATCATCATATTAAACCATCCTTTTTTCCCCACTGAAATGAAATGCCATCTATTAAACTGTCATATATACACTATTTAGGGTGTAGTCGATACCATGTGGCAAACAAAATATCTTAGAATTCTTCAAGCCCAAGAGGCTATGGCTACCATAAGGATGGGTTTTAGTATCAGCACAGATGTTTCCACATAGACCGAAGAAAACATCTGTATGCTTAGCTGTCAGATAGAGACTGTGGGAGGGTCAAGTGCAGTCAATGATATCATAAAAGGGAAGAGAATTCTATTTGGAATTTCAGAAGCCTTAAAGGAAGGTTCTGGCCAGCTTCTTCTGAAGACCGAGGCCGGATTCACTGGCTTCTTTGCCTCCTTACCTGACACAGGTCTAAGCAGTGCATGAGTATATCAGTTGTAAATGTCTTAAGTAATAGAAAGCTTGGATACGAGTTTATTTTTGCAGAGCTAGCAGTTGAGAGGTGGGCAGATAAAGGTGTTGGTTTCATGGCCTAAAATTGTCAGAGCCGAATCCAGGTCATTTTCTCATGCTTTTCCTGCTGATCACAAGATGACTCCTCCAATTCAGGTAGCACTTAGAGAATGTTCAAGGCAGCATAAATGGTAAACAGTAGCACCATATCTTTTCCCAAGACAGCAGAAAGTTTTCCCGGAAGCCACCCGTTAAATCTCCATTATGCTTCAGTGTCCAAAAGTAGGGCCCATAGCCATCGCTAGCAGCAAGGATGGCTGAGAAAATGGTATCTTTTCAACACTAAACTTTTCTAGACTGTCGGGTTGTATATAATAAGTAAAAAGGGGATGGGGATGGCCAGCAATGAAAAAAGTCTGCCCAAAGTCTGCCCATTCAGTTATTCATTCAAAAAAAAAATATTATTGAGCACCTGAGCAGCCTATGTGAACCAAACAGAGAGGAGCGTGCGTGGCTTTTCTTGAGGAAATGAGACTGAGGTGGAGTGATCAAAAGGAGATGATAAGACGTGATTTCAGGGCAGTTTTTAGGGCCCAATCTGACTTACAACAAAGTGACATCTCCTTGGCTCTTCAGTGGAGAAGAAGCTGAAAGGAGGCAAGGATAGTAGCAGAGAGACAGATGATGGGTAGCAGTGGAGGTGGTGAGAAGTGGCAAGATTATGAACACACTTTAGAGAACAAGCCGACCCGATTCCTCTGATAGATCAGCTGTTAGACCCTAAACCACACAGTTTCTACAAAATATACTTCTATTTTCTCCCAAGTTGCGTCAGCAAAGCTGACTCAAACAGGCACGTGTGCAGTGGGAACTTACCACTGCACAGCAAGGAATTTGCTTATGTGGTAGTCAGTGGACTTGGTCCCTAACCTCATCATAAAAAGGGCAGGAAGCTATAAACTCTTGTGACCTGTGACTCCCTTCACATCAGCTGCACTGACTGCAGAATTCCTGGGCCACCCCCATGATGGACTGTACCCCCTGATCCCATGAAATCTATACCAGGTTAACCGTTTACACTGCTTATTTGCTGATTTAGTAATAAACCCTGGGTGCTAACACCACAAGTAGAATTTCAGGGGCTAGGTACCTACTGGGAGAAGGATATGGCAACCCACTCCAGTATTCTTGCCTGGAGAATCCCGTGGACAGAGAAGCCTGATGGGCTGCTGTTCATAGGGTCACACAGAGTCGGACATGACTGAAGCGACTTAGTATGCATGCAGTAATAAACCCAACAACAAAACAAAACACACACACAAAAAAAGATGTGGGACTGAAAAAGTGAAGTCAAAGATGACACCACCAATTTTCACCTGAACGACTTATAGCATTTCCCACTCATTGAGCTGGAGAAGGCTGAAGGGGGACCTGGTTAGGAGGGAATGGCAGGTGTCTCATCTGCTGAAGCTCAGTAAATTTCTGTCCTGTTTTCTTTCTTGGATGTGGAATGTCTTTTGCTTGGGAAACTGACTGTGTTCAGGATTCAGTGGTGTCAGTCAGTGAATTTTTTTATGTTCATTAACAGCTGTAGTTTTGTGATAAAAAACTAAACCATCGTTTTTAACTTTTCAGACAAAGCAGCCTTGCAAAGAGCCAAGGGAAAAATCATCTGGCCTTGGCGCAGGGGAGTACATAGAAGTCCTGAAGCTGCTGAGCATCACACTTCTGCTGTGCTCTCTGACTTGCCTCTTGCTGGAGACTGTCGCTTCCTCTGTGTCACCTTTATCTGCCTTCAGAGTACAAGACCAAGATGGCCTGCCACAACGCTCAGTGGGTGTGTTTGCTGTTATGATGAAAGTTCCCATCTCCATAGTACCTAAGATTCTCATTTCAGGTCAGGAAAAACTGATTTTGTATTTTAAAATAATCTTCATTATTTTTATTTGATTTTAATCTTCATGTACACTATTTCTGGTTGGGTTCAATTTAGTTCAACCAGCACGAGCCCACCTACCATGCACCAATCTGTGTGTTAAATGACATGGATTAGGCATTCACAGGTGGGCAGCCCCACCCATAGGTGTCAACCTTCCATGAAATAATGACAAATGCACCCTGAGGACAAAGGGAGAATTACAGTTGTTTGTGGGGAGGGGTCAGGAAGGACTTGAGAAGGGAAGCAAAATGTAAGCCAAAGCTAATAGGTCACTGACCCACAACTTAGGTGCTCCCAGAGCCCAGTGTGTTGCTTGGGTCCTTCCCGGCTCTGGAAAGTGAATTGTGGTGGGTGGTGACGCCTTGTGACTTTAGGTCACAGACACTTGTGTTTACCCTACCTCTCCCCTTGATCACCAGACTCTGTGTAGTTCCTTCTGCCAGCTTCCAAGGCCTGTTTGTCCCCTCTGGGTGCTCCTGGGGCTGATGACTGTCTCTTCTCTTCACCACACACTCACGGGCCTTTGCCTCCCAAACACCCTTCTAGGCAGGTAGTTATGAAATCAAGGTCCTCTCTCACAAAGTTCCACATTGATTCACGGAGCTAATTGCTCCTATTTGACATACCAGAGGCAAAGATGAAACCATCTGAGGATACACTTTTTTTTTCCCCCAAATGTGTATTCCTTTAACCACTTGGCTTAGCAGAGTCATTAAAAATATGGGCCCTGGGCCTATAAGAATGTCAGATCTGGGACTACTCTTTGAACTTGAACCAGAGTTTGTATCCCAACTTCATCATTGACTCGGTGAACATCTGTGCTCTTCCTGCAGAAAATTCCAGGTCCTGGCTGAGCAACTTCAAGGATTACCTGTGTGATCTCATCAGGAGCCAGATCCCTCCAGCAGCCATTTTTATTTTTCTTATCATGTCAGCAGTACTGGGGACCCTCTGCTGCCTCACGTAAGCTTCTGGAAGAGGAGGGAGGGAAGGGAACCAGTACCTAGGGAGAGGCAGGAATGGCCATGTGAGCTCCACCTGTGAAAAAGTCTCCTCCACGTTCTCTTTTTTCCTCCATCCTACTCCATCCCTTTCCAATCATTGACAGGTGACATTTAAAGACCAGTATTTGCAACTGATTACTTTTTTTAGTAACTTCATTAATTCCTAATTATCCTTTCCTTGGGTATAGGAATCATACATGGAAAACAAATGATTAACTCTTCTCTATTGCCTGGACTTCCCTGGTGGCTCAGATGGTAAAGTGTCTGCTTATAATGCAGGAGAGTGGAGTTCAATCCCTGAGTTGGGAAGATCTCCTGGAGAAGGAAATGGCAACCCACTCCAGTATTCTTGCCTGGAAAATCCCATGGTCGGAGGAGCCTGGTAGGCTACAGTCCATGTGGTCGCAAAGAGTCGGACACGACTGAGGAACTTCACTTCATTGCCTCAAAGACTGACCAAAATATTTACTATTAAATCACATGAAGCCAAAGAGATTCTTGAAATGTCTAACCAAACACTAAAGCTTAGCTAGTTAGTGAAAGTCACTCAGTCATGTCCGACTCTTTGCAACCCCATGGACTATACAGTCCATGGAATTCTCCAGGCCAGAATACTGGAGTGGGTAGCCTTTCCCTTCTCCCATGGGAAGGGACTCTTCCAGGGGAATCTTCCCAAGCCAGGAATTAAACCCAGGTCTCCCGCATTGCAGGCGGAGTCTTTACCAGCTGAGCCACCAGGGAAGCCCAGACAAGCCTCAATTTCATTAATCAATATTTTTCTAAGAGATGACCACTTGCCTGTCTCTGTCCTGGTTACTAGAGATAGAGAAATAACACGATTGAATAATTACAGCCTGCTGTATCAGGACTCTGAGGTGAGACAGAGCCCAGGTGGAGAAACCTGGATTGAAAAGGCTTTGTGTAGGGGACAGCTGTTTTCAAACTGCAGAATCTAATCAAGTGGCTGTGGTCAAAGATCAGGTGAAGGGTGTGTTTCCTGACAACTTCAAAACGCCCATGGATGGAGAACCATGTCTGGGAAGCAAAGTTGGATATGGTTCCCAGCACACTAGACTGATTGGAGCCACACAGAACTCAGTGAGCTTATTTGTTGTTTGAGCTGTAAAGCAGTATTTGGACCTGGGAAGGACACGAGCTCTGAAGGCCCCAGGAGGCTTGCTCCCTGACACTTCTAGATGCAGCCGCAGGGAACAGTAGACCAGAGGAGCCCCCCAGAGGATGGGCCGTGGTGGGCCAGGGAGCTCAATTTGATGGAAGAGTTGGCCTGCTGAGTGTCTGACCAGCAGGATTCCAGAATGACTACAAAGCAGGGGCTGTTACATGCCTCCCGGTCTTCCTCTTTTCCAAAGGGAGGGTTAATGGCGGTTGTCCACTTCCTGTTCCTTCACTGTATGTAAGATGGCAGAGGTGGTGATCAGGGGCACACGGGTTGATTTCGGGTCAAAGTTCTTTTTCCCGAGAGGAGCCACACCCGGACTTGAGACCAACAGACACTCTGGAAGCAAGCTGGGCAGTGGGAGTGTGCAGCATCTTATCAGGATCCCTTATCAGGGGTCAACGCCCATGCAGGGCAGGGGCCGGAAGGGAGAAGCTGAACTGCCTTGCAAGCACAGCAAGGCCTCGAGTGACCCCTTTGGAGTGGTCTTCCCTTTATCAGTACACCTTGAGTGGCAGCTGTGGGACCTAGGCCACCCCAGGAAGTACAGGCTCTGTATTCACCAATCCTGTCCCTCCTTGCTAAGCCCAGAGGAAGATTGCATGTCGCAACTGCAGGAGCCGGGAGTCAAACCAAGATGCATGCGATTCCATGTCTTTTAAGTCCTTGTGGCTCTAACTCTGGCCGGCAGGCCAGCTGCCTCAGAAATATCTGAAGGATTTCTGCGAAGATAGTTAGGCAACATGCCAAGAGAAAGACTTCCTTCTTTGAAGTAAATGGCTCAGCCTGGGGAGAAAAACCAATAAACCTTTGCTGGAAACCAGCGAGGACGATAAGAGCAAAAAAAAAAAAAAAAAAAGACGTGGATGACAAAATATAAAAGGAGATAGGGAAAGCAGGACCCCAAAAACTGGCTCTATTAAATAAGCAAAGACTTTAGAGAAAGTAAGATTAGAGAAAAAAAATGATAGATGCAGGAGACATATCACAAACTTTTTGGTAGATAAAGGACCAAAATAATACAACAGAAACAAATACTTCAAGGCATAATTTTGTCACATGTGGTGGAAACAAAGGAAAGCTTGAGTCTCAAGTCATACAGAAAGACGGGCACTTGGGACTGAGCCCACAGTGGACTGGCACTAATACTTGATTTTCTATGATTACATTTCGCAGTAAGGACTGCAAACAGTTTCTCTGTGCCTCATTATTCACCCTCTATAAGCATTAGTGATGGCTGCAATGAAGGCTTAGGATAGCTGCTGGGTAGCTAAACAAATCCCCACTGAAGCCTGGAGAATTCTCAGCTCTCTGGCGGCAATCATGAAATGCAGAAATACTTGTATAAGGAATTTTTAGTATGGCTTTCATTAGCAAAGAAATAGAACCAACTGAAATGATTCTTGGCCGGCTAAAGAAAGCCGTGAACATTCATACATTGTTGTAGAAGACTAATCACATGGAATCAGAGTCATGAAATACTGTTGAGTTAAAAAAAAATACCTATTTTAATGGAAGATATACAATTCCACCCAATTTATTGTGAAAAAACTATACTTCCAGGGGAAAAAAACCTTGAAGGATCTAACCAAAGATTTGAACATCGGTTATCTCCTTCAGATAGTGAATATTTTAATAATCATGATTGTTGTTGTTACTTAGTTTCAGGTTTATTTTTGTCTGCCCTTTTCAATCTTTCCACAACAAAACATATTGTTTAATTAGAGAGTTTTTAAAAAGAAACTTCAAAACAAGAAAAACTATCTGAACTTACTTCTACTCTACCTCTACATCCAATCCTACACTCCTACTTTCTCAAGTCATGAAAGCCTTTTCACGATATGAAATCACTTGGTTCATACTAACACAAAAAGCCATCCAAAACCCTATCTTGGAAAAGGTGATATAATGGCAAAGTAACTCTGCAGACCAAGACAGTGTGTTGGAATTCAAATTCAGTTCAGCAGTCATCATTCTCTTCCTTTCCCAGTGTTCTAATAGGTGAACCAGTCCAATGAAGTATGAGAAGATTCAATGGGACAAGTGTAATGCTTAGCTTGCTGGATACCAAGAGAGTGGAGAGTGTGCTATTTGTGTACAATAAGGAAGTATCTACCAGGTAAAATTAAATTGTCTTACATCTTAAACGATCTTTGCCTTTACTTTCTCCTTTAAAACATGCAATTGAAACAAAATGATAATGGACTCATTACTGTTTTAATTATAAAATCATACATCATGCTCGTGCTCAGTCGTGTCTGACTCTCTGTGACCCCATGGGCTGTAGCCCACCAGGCTCCTCTGTCTGTGGGATTTTCCAGACAAGAATACTGGACTGGGTTGCCATTTCCTCCTCCAGGGGATCTTCCCAATTCAGGGATGGAACCTTTGTCTCCTGCATTGGAAGGCAAATTCTTTCCCACTGAGCCATCTGAGAAGCCCCAAATAATACATACTTATCACAAAAAAATAATAAAATATAGAAAGAAGAGAAAATGCCCATAATTATAGCACCCAGAAACAAACATTCTTTACATCTTGGTGTATCTTCTTTCAAACTTTTTTCTATTCTTATACTATCAGTTTCCCAAAATCTGTTCTCAAAAGCAATAGCTCTGTTTTAATAAATGTTATGAGACAATAGGACTGTGTGGCCAATTAGGTTGGAGAGATGCTGAATTAAATAAGTGTGAATGTATTTCTTTGCTCCAGCACTTCTAAAAGCCTTTCACAAGCTAACATGGATCTCCACAAAAGAGTAGAACAGGCATTTCCCAAACAAATGTAAACATGGGCTTTTTTAATGGAGTGAATGCTGATGTATACACAATTGCAGAAAATCGCTCACTGAGATCCTTTCTTTCACCAACCTATCATATTTTGTAGCCTACTTTTTCCTTCACTCTATGACATATAGTGGCTATCTTTCTGTGTCAGTAAGTGCTGCATAGTATTTCTTGCAGTGGATTCAACTGAAGTCATTTAACCACCACCCCATAATAACTTAACCCCATGCACTATACAGTCCATGGAATTATCCAGGCCAGAATACTGGAGTGGGTAGCCTTTCCCTTCTCCAGGGGATCTTCCCAACCCAGGGATCAAACCCAGGTCTCTCGCACTGCAGGCAGATTCTTTACCAGCTGAACCACCAGGGAAGCCCTAGGGTGTTCCTACTTGTTAACTATTATACATTTAATGCAGGTTATAGTTTTACAAATTATTCATTTGCTTTACACTTTGCTGTGGCCACCTGATGCAAAGAACTGTCTCATCGTAAAAGACCCTGATGCTGGGAAAGATTGAAGGCGGGAGGAGAAGGGGATGACAGAGGATGAGATGGTTGGATGGCATCACTAACTCAATGGACATGAGTTTGAGTAAACTCAGGGAGCTGGTGATGGACAGAGAGGCCTGGTGTGCTGCAGTACATGGGGTCGCAAAGAGTCAGACACGACTGAGCGACTGAACTGAACTGCATTGAACTTGCTGTTCCGAGTTGGAAATCACTCACCCGTGAACACTATGGCACACCTCCTGTTCTGAGCAAGTAACAATGCAAACAGCAAGCTTGGCTAGAGTGGAAGACACCGCAGCGCCAGGGGGCTATGGTGAGAGTAAGCTTGGGGCAGAGCTAAGACCTGGCGGGCCTCCGAAAGGATCTGGGTTCTCCTGGGAGCCCACAGAAAGTGGGAAAGTCATTTGATGGGTGTTTTTAAAGGGTCATCTCAGTCGCTGTCTTGAGAAGGTCCAAAGCAGGGAGACTAGCCAGGAAGTTTCCCAAAATCCAGGTGAGACATAGCCTTGTTGGCACCAGGGTGGGGATTGGCAGAGTTACAGTCAGTGTCAGAATATAGATGGAGGGAGAAGCGAGAGCTATCAGGATTTGATCAGTGATTGGATGAGGTATGGGAAAGAATTGAAGCTTCGAGAATGCCTCCTGGACTTTGGGCCTAAGCAAGCCAGGGGCTGGGGTCAGGGCAAACCACAGGAGGTTAGGAATTTACTGCCTCAAAAAATGCAAAGAGAAATACCGAACAGGTGTTCTTTTTTTTTGGAATATACTTATTTATTCTTGAGGTAAATAGACACTTAAGAATAATTTAAATTACATGCAACTTAAGCAGCATAGGTATATAAAAACTGGAAAGCGGACACAAATCTGTTAATATATTAAAAGCTAGTGAGTTGTACACTTTTTTTCCTTAATTTTAATTGGAGGCTAATTACTTCACAATATTGTGGTGGTTTTTGCCCTATATTGACATGAATCAGCCATGGGTGTACATGTGTTCCCCATCCTGACAGTCCCTCCCACCTCCCTCCCAATCCCATCCCTCTGGGTCATCCCAGTACACCAGCCCTGATCACCCTGCCTCATGCATCAAAAGGATGTTCTGATTGGTACAGGGGTGAGATCCCACCACACACCCTCCATCTCAGATGCCACTCGGTGGGAGACCATCCTCTGATCAGACTTGAAGAGGAAGTTGAACTGACCACCTTGCACTGAGCTTTCAATCAGCCAGGGGAGGGAAATCAAAGCTGCCTCCTTACACACACCTTCACAGTCCTTTTTATCTTGCCCACGTTGTTCCTTAAGGCAAATTGCTGAACTGGGAATGGCTGGGTCAGAGGCTGCAGGCATGGTACCATGCAGGTCTTGTGCAAGGCTCACAGACCTTCCCCTCCTGTTCTCTTGAATATTCTGTTGTGTCCTTCGTTTGCTTTATATTTTTGCCAGTTATGTTAGGCAATCCACTATTTAATTTTGCTTGGATTTTACAAATTCCTGAAGTCTTCCTAAACTTGCTGAACCAGAATTTTCAAGCTTCTCTTTTGCAATATAACATACCTACAGCAAAGAGCACAAGTCAAAGGAAGTTTGGAGACTTCCCACAAAGCGGACACATTCACTGTCCTTCTCCCCTTTAGGATCAGCAGCCCCTCCTCACGCCCCGCCCCCGCCCCCACCGTAATCTTCATTCTGTCTCCTCAGGCCAGAGTCTTCCCTGTTTTTAAGTTTTCTGAAAATGAAACCACAGGCATGCACTATCTTCTGTGCTTTTCTTATTTTTCGTTTTGAGCTTCTGCCACGTGGATGCCTGCCTGGAGCTGCAGTGACCCCTTCGTAACCCAACTGCATGAAAAGACCTCTACTCATTTAGCCCCTTGATAGTGGACAGACACGTGTACTGTTTGTCTTTTCTATTCTGAATAAAGCCTCCAGAAGTATTACTGCACATGTCTAGCAGGGTACACGTGCAAGAGTCTCTCTGAAGAGTGTCATCTGTGATGGCCTTTCTGAGTCAAAGGTCAAGTGCCCCCATCACCCCACACCCTGAGAAGATATAACATCATAGTCTTCATTTTTTTTTTTTGGTCAATCTGGTGGATAGAAAATAGTATCTTATTGTTTTCTTACTTTGCATTTCCCTGACAAGTGATGACACTGAAGATCTTTTCTCGTGTTGATAGGACATTTATCTTTCTCTCTTATGAAATGCTTGTTAATGAATTGTGCCCATTTTTCAAATTTTAGCTTCATTTATTCCTTATTGATCAGTAGGACTTCTTTGTATACTCAGTATACTAATATGTTGTAGGCTAGAAATGTGGAACATAGCATCCCTCATTCTGAGGGTTGTATTTTGATTTTAATGTTGTCTGATTTGGTGATAATTATTTTAATTTTATTTGGAGGCTAGTGACTTTACAATATTGTGGTGGTTTTTGTGATTTGGCGATAATTTTCCTTGCGTCTGTTTAAGGACCCCTTTCCACCCAAAAGTCATAAAGGACGTCTCCTATGCTGTCTTCTAACAGTTTCACAGTTTTGCCTTTCACCTTTATGTCCTTCAGCTGCTCGGAATAAAGTTTTCTTTGAGGTGAGGTCAAGTCTAATTTCAGTTTTTACAGAAAATTGTGAGAAACGATGTTTTTCCAGTCGTGAACTCTGAACTGAATTTCTGTGCCTCAAGGCAGTTCTAGCAATTGAGAAAAGCAGATAGCTGCAATAAATTCCAACAAGCAATAAATTCTCAGGAGCAAGGCCTCATTCTGAGCACTGAGCACACTGAACTGGAACCAGCCGACCAGAAACAGGTGAGCGCATGTTGAGAAGAAGACCAGCTGTATGACCAGCCCTCCTCAGAGTCAGACCACTTGCCTTCCCAGTACTTTTCCACTCTGAGCTTGGCCTCAGGAAAAACTTCAACTACATTTTGCTGGAGGACTCCCTGCCTCTGAAGTTCTCCGGCGGCCATAGTTTCGATAGCCTGTGTGCCTTCACCTCTAACCAGCCTTGGTTTCTGTTTTGATCCCTAGTTGCCCAGCTGCCCTAAGTACACATGTGTCCTTTCCTTACTGGTCTGTAACACCTCTTGTCATGTCACCATTTCTTATCACTTTTCTGTTCCATTTGTCTATTTGTCTCTTTCTGCGCCTGTCCTACACTCTCCTAGTTACATTACTTTGTAATAGGTTGTGCTATCCGGAAGCCAAGTCCTTCCACATTGTTCTTCACAAGTCCACACACATTTTAAAATGAGATTCTCCAGTTTCACAAAACCTCTCTGTTGAGACTTTTATTGGAATTGCATCAATATATACATCTAGGAGTGGGGTTGCTGGCTCAGAGGGGAGATGCATGTTCAGTTTGAAGAAACACAAAGCTGTTCTCCTAAATAGTACTGCCAAATGTAGACTCACAGCAGCAATGTTCAAGAACTCACATGGGTTCTCATTTCCTCTAACACTTGATATTGTTAGACTTTTAAATTTGTGACAATTTAATGGAGGCACAGTAGTTTTCCTTGTGGTTTGATCACTAATGAGGTTGAACATCTGTTCATATGTTCATTGCTCATGTGTGTTTCTCCATCTGTGAAATGCTTATTCGTGTTTTTTTTTTACCCATTGATCTGCTGGGTTGTTTGTGTTTTTGTTATTAATTTGTAGACTTTTATATATTCATAATAGGAATTCTTCATCAGTTGTACTGAAAATATTTTCTGCAAGTCACATCTTGTCTTTTTTGCTTTTTTAGTTTGCCTTTTGATGAGTGAAATCTCTAATGTTAAAGTCAAGCTGATCAATATTTTTTTTACAGTCGATGATTTGTCTGCCTTGTTTAAGAAATCCTTCTCTATCCCAAAGTCTAAAAGTTCTTTGCTGATGTTTTCAGTCAAAAGATTTGAAGTTGTGTTTTTGACAGAGAAGTCCTCTATCCATCTGGAATACATTTATTTCTGCATATGGCATGCAGAAGGGTTTCAGGTTCCTCTCTTTCAATATAAATAAACATTTCCTAACTGTGGTTAATGAAAAGTTTCTCTTTACTCACCTAACATGGCACTTGTATCAGATACCACAATTACACACCAGCCAGTGTGCATCTCTGCATTTTCTAATTTATCTCATTGCTCAATTAATCTATCTGTGCACGGTATCTCACTGTCTTAATTTTAATAGTTCCCCTTCCTCTTTGTGTGTGTGTGTGTGTGTGTCTATGTCTCCCTCTGTGTGTGTGTATGTGTGTGTCTGTGTCTCTCTCCCTCTTTATGTGTCTCAGCCTTGTATAGTTCCTTGAGGGTAATCTTGGAGAAGGGAGCCATCAATCAATCACATGAGCTCAGTCTCTCAGCAGAGAAAACTGGGTGATCTGGCTGCAAACTCTTGCCCTTGATTTTTCTCTTCGTGGCCAAGAAGTTCTGGAAGGTCGGAACAAGATTACACAGAGTAATGTACTGCTTGTAATACTGCGAGGTTATTCCCTTCGGGTCAAGGAGCCAGGTGTTTATCAGGCAAATGTGTGTACAGATGGCGCACAGCCCTGAATTCTGTAAGCACAGGAAATGTTTGTTTTGTTCAGCAAGTCTTGCGTGCCTTCGCTGCTGGGGTGAACGCCACGAAGGTGTGAGGGTGCTAAGGAATCCTGCTCTGGTCTTTATAAGGAATGTTGGTCTCTTTGCTGCCACTGAGCCTTCCATTTTTTGTTTGTTTGTTTGTTTGTTTGTTTTCGTGGCTTTAGTCGTCGGAGATGTAATTCTGCGCCCCTTCCGGGCGCCCAGGTGCGCAAAGCCGGGCCCCTGGGGGCCTTGGGGGCGGGGACCAGGCTGGGGGCGTGCCCAGGGGGCGGGGCAGGGCGGGGCTCCGCCCCCCGCGCGCCCGGCGCGCCTCCTGCGGGGTGGTGACGGCCCAGGCGCGCCGAGTCCCAGCAGCCTTCGCCGCCTCCGCGCGCCGCAGGCCCCCGGGCTCTCGAACTCCAGCTTGTGCCGGCCCCGCGGCCCCCGCGTCCCCGGCGGCCCGGCTCTCCCGGAAAATGACGCTGAAGGCGAGCGAGGGCGAGGGCGGGGGCGGCATGCGCACGGCGCTTTCCGATCTCTACCTGGAGCACTTGCTGCAGAAGCGCAACCGGCCCGAGGTGAGCGGCTCCCGGGGTCCCCCCAACTGCGTGCGATGAGGGCCGGTCCCCGACTTTAGGCCGCGCCGCCCGCCCTCCTGCCCTCGGTGTGGGGGGGGGGCTGACCCCCGGGGCTCGTGCGGGACTTCTGGGCGCCGTGGCTCGGGACCCCGTGGCGCCTCTAGGCGGGAATCGGCAGAGGCCGCGGCCCCCGACCCCGAGAGCTGATGAAAGGTCGGGGGAAACTTCTGTGTGGACGGGGTTGGGGTCACGGAGAAGACTTTCAGGAACAGAGCCCAGGGGAGGTCTGCTTAAGTGCTTGTGTCAGCAGAAAGGGTTGGTGGTAAGAGCCAACACTGGCCCCAAAGTGCTCAGTCACCATGCCGTGGCATTTCTGCGGGGGCCGCTGGTGCTGGGGGGTACCCGGGGGGCCTGTGTCTGTTTGTGGGCAGGCATCATCTCAGGAGTAATTCTGCCCTCCCCGCCCCCCCCCCCCGCCCAGATTCCTGCAATGGCCCATAAATAGCAACTCACCTCTATCCTCAAAGATGGCCCATAAGGAATAGTTGAATCTCTTGTTATCTTGGGGCTTCCCTGGTGGCTCAGAGGGTAAAGTGTCTGCCCCCAATGCGGGAGACTGGAATTCGATTCCTGGGTTGGTAAGATCCCCTGGAGAAGGAAATGGCCACCCACTCCAGTACCCTTGCCTGGAAAATGCCCTAGAAGGAGGAGCCTGCTGGGCTACAGTCCATTGGGTCTCAAAGAGTCTGATAACGACTGAGAGACTTCAAGGTAAGGCTGCATGCCAGGCCCACTCACTCACCTGAAGGCCGAAGCTGGGTCTCAGTGGTCGGCCATCAGCCAGCACCCACCGGCGGCCCTTCAACGTTTCCTGGCCTCCTCACAGCCTGCTGGCCAGGTTCCAAGAGAGGATGTCCACAGAGACACCCAGAGATAGAGGGCTCAGCAGACACTTGCTGGCCTGGGGACTCACAAGTGTGAATCTTTTTCCTAGACCGCCAAGATCTTCCAGGGCAGGGCTGTTTGTACACTCACTTTTCCCAGGTGAAATGCCTGATCCATGGGGCCTCGGAAATGGTTCCTGAATTACTTAGTGCCTGAAGAGGTGGACGTGCTATGCAGCGCACCCATCCACTTGGGCACACGATGAAACTGCAGATCCCCCAGGTCCCAGCAGACTGGCGAGCAGTCTGGGGACTGTGGACTGGGAGGCATCAGAGGGAGGCTGCATTCTGTATCTGCTTTGAGCTTGCTGCTTCCCTCAGGGCACCGTATTCATGCTTATCTGTCTTTGCAAATCAGGATCGCTGTTGTCTAGGCTTCCAGGAGCCAGCGGGGATGATCATGTGGGGAAGACAAAGTTGCAAGTTAGGCAGCAGCACGTGCATTGGAGGGGATCAGGCTCTGAAACTCCTTGATTCCCCATAAGCTTGGAAATGTGATTTTTTGCTTTTCTTCCCAACAGTCAACTCACTTGGCTGAGCCTTAACTCTGTCCCCACCCCCTGCCAAAGTCTCTTTGTTGAATTTTCTTTTGGTAACTTTATTGAGGTTTACTTGGCATACATAGAATTCACTGATTTGTGCAGTTCACTGACATTGGACACATACATCCCACCCTGTATCTGTGACCTCACAGCCCTTGAGGGTTGCCCCCCACTATCTGCCATCCCTGGAAGCATGGAACACCACCCCCCACCCCCCGCAACATCTGGAAAACACTATCACTTTGCCGTTTTGAGGCTGTCCTACAAATGGACTCCAGCTTATGTAGGCCTTTCTGTGTGCCTGCTTTCACTTTGCACAACCTGAGCGTCACCTGTAACTCAGTGTCCTGACCCCTTGGAGATCTTTCTGCCCCTGGTGGGAAGGCTGGGGAAGTTCGTTGTGTGCAGTTTTGAACAGAAGCCCTGTCACTACTCTCTGAGTAAGCAGCAGTTTTTGTGGAGCCATGAGTTTATCCTGAAATACCAGATACAGTCTCCTGCCTATGTAGTTTGTTTGTATGAAACGGTGGGATAAGAAAAACTGGTAAAGCACAGAATGAAAAGCTTCCAGAACTGCCCAACTGTGGACCCCGGAAGGAGAATCTCCATGCCGTGAGGGGTGGCCTGACCCCAGGAGTCGGCTGATTTCTTATTTCCTGAGGTTCACCTTCCCTCTGAGGAAGCTGTTGGCTTTAAAGCAATTCAGAAATTCCTGTTTCCAAACACTTCATTGAGGAGGATTGCTTTCGGTAAAAGTTCTAAAGACTCGAAACCCAAAGTTTCCCTTCTGATCGTAGTCTGCATTTGATATTGAAAAAATCTTATCAGAACACAATGTTGTAGTACGTTTGAGGTGGAGGCTCCCTCCCCTATTTAACTATAGGTGTCCTTCCTCAGAGAAACATTTTATGAGCTCTCTGTGACCTTGTTCTTTATGGCAGTCCCTCAGCGCACATAAAATGGGTTGTAAAATTCCTACTTGTCTCTGCCGGCCTGTTTGAAGTTGTCCCTTTCCCGTGACCTGAAGAAATAGGTTGCAAGTCCCTGAAAGTTCACTCGGGCCTAATGGCCAGGAATGAAGTCTGGCTCCAGCTGAGTATCTACTCAGCAGAGCTCCTGGCCAGCAGATTCGACCTCATCTGCTGTTGTACAGGTTTGGGGCTGGAGATATCCAGGGTGCCATCTGCCAACAGTGCTCCAAGCAGGGGACGTTCAGGGCTCACAGAGGTCTGAGGTGGGAGAGATGAAATCAGGTGACATTTCATGGATAGCGGAGATTTTTTTTTTTCCCTTAAGCACCAGTTGCTCAAGTTTTTCACTGTTGCTCAAAAGAGGAGAACTGACTCAAGGGCTGGGAAACCGGAAGACATGCTCCAAATTAGGGAACCAGAGTACAGCTTGGTGTAACATAAAATTTTCTGAGGCTTCACTTTGCCTTTTTCCTTCACGTGGAGACATAGAGTTGAGCCACATCCATACGCATCCGTTCCTCCGTCCCTCCGTCCCTGTGGTTCATCCACGACCACAAGCCTCCAGCCACCAGCAGAGGCCACTGACCCTGGACTGAATTGTGTGGTGCTGCGGGGTTGACTGTGCAAGAAATAATCAAGCCGGCGGACCCGTGGCAGCTCACGCCCATTGTGTCCAAGGGCCAATTTTACACATTTGTGCTCTGAAGTCACCAGCCTGCCAGTTTTGCTGCAGGTGCTTTGTTTGCTGGCATCCCAGGCACCTGGTTCATCAGGACTGAAGCCAGGACTTGCAGAAAATCCTGCCTCTGAGGCTCTCCTCTCCTCCCAGCCCTTTTGTGCAGCTCTTGTATTTGTGGGGAAACAGTGCCCCCTTTTTTCTGGTACCTTGAGCCCTCTTGGGTTTTCTCATTTTTTTTTTTCTTTCTCTTGTGTTCTTTCCCAAAGTGGAGCCTGCCCTGGCCCAGGAGGACTGATCAGCTGGTGTCTGGTGTGGGCCATCACTTGCCTACTTGGCCTGGGCCTTCTTCCAAGTCTGTGCAAGTCGCTCAGTCATGTCCAACTCTGGGCGACCCCATTGATTGTACAGTCCATGGAATTCTCCAGGCTAGGATCCTGGAGTGGGTAGCAGCCTTTACCTTCTCCAGGGGATCTTCCCAACCCAGGGATTGAACCTAGGTCTCCCACACTGCAGGCGGATTCTTTCCCAGTTGAGCCCCCAGGGAAGCCCAAGAATGCTGGAATGGGTAGCTTAGCCCTTCTCCAAGGGAACTTCCCAGCCTAGGAATCGAATCTGGGTCTCCTGCATTGCAGGCAGCTTCTTTCCCAACTGAGCTGTCAGGGAACCCCCACGGTACCTGGAAATAGTGGGCAGAGGGCTTACCTGTCGGCCCAACAGATGTTGGTTTTTTCCCTCCGGTCACTGGCACCGGCTCTTAATGTGATTTGGTGGCCCCTGCTCGAGTCATCCACCCCCGCCACCCGCCACCAAGTTTGTTTTTTCATCTCTCTTTTTTTTTAAATCCCAGCTTCCTCTGAACTGCTGCCTCTGCCCTTTGAACCCACCGCAGATGTTTCCTCTGAAGAGGGTTTCAGCGGCCAGGCCTTGCCACCCCAGCAGTTTGTGTGATTATGGGCCCCTGAGAGGCTGCGGAGCAAAGGGCGGCCCTGCACCCTCCTCGCCTAGGACAGCCGTCCCCCATCCTGCCTAAGTGTGGCTGGGGGCCCCCCCCGGCCAAGGGGGATGCTGGTGTCCAAGTTGCAAAGTGTATCCCGCAGAAAACAATCGAGCACCTTTGCCCGATATTGTTTGCTCAGCATTGCTTGTATCACTTTGTAATCACCTGGCACGGGTGCTCGTGGCACTGGGAAGGACTCAACATTGTGGTCCAGTGTGGGGCCAGTAAGTCCCAGAACAAACCATGGAAAGTCTCTGCCACCCATTGGAAGGCGCATGTCTTGCCAGCTCTGGAAACACGCCAAGTTCCAGCAGTTGAGGTGCAGGACAGGGGAGACATGGGGCTGACTGCAGCCTGTGGCTCCTGCTCCACACGCATCTGTCTGTCTGTCTAACCCTTCCCTGTGGATTGTCTGCGGGCTGGGGGTGCCAAGGGCTGGCATGCCAGGTGCCATCAAAGAGCGGCCAGAGCAGGGTCATCAGGTGGTGCTTGGGGGGTGCCCCACGAGTACGAGTTGGTTCTAGGGGTGCCAGGTCAGAGCATTCCGGGTATCTCGCTCATCACTGGCAGCTTCTGAGGGAGTGTGACAGCAGCTGTGAGTCATTAGGAAGGGGGGCCGTCTTGACAGATAAGCACACTGAGAAGCCCAGCATTTGGCACAGCAAGTGTTGAACTTTTCTGGGTTTGGTGTGTTCTACCTCTGGCAGGCTTTGCGGAGTCCTTAATTTAAAGGCTGACATGTCCTGGAGCTGAATGAAGAGATGAGGCCCCCAATCACGCAGGCATCCACCCCCTTGCCAAGTTCACTCTGCCTTCCATGGACTGACTTTCGACTCTGTCCTTGTTGAGAATGTTACGCAGGGCTCC